AATGTAGCTTTACAATAAAGTAGAATTAGCTCATCTGGTTGTGATTCCTACCTGGTTTACCCCATGAGGCCAACATCAATCGTGCAAGTCTGAAAGTACAATCCTCCCCGCACCCTGCTGTCTCCTTTACAGCCTGAGAAACTAGGGACGGTCCCTTCTGAGACTCTTGCCCCTCCCATTATCCAGCTGTGGGCTATGCTCTCTCTTATCTGACTGTTCCCTTGGCAGCATCTCTTGGCCCAATCTCCCAAGGTCTTTCCCACATACCATTCCACTGACTGAGCAGCCACACTTTGTGCCCCTTCTTCTAAGCAACAAGACCAAGAAAGGGTGTTTTTTCTGTCTTGAAGCCTGTTCCCCCTGTTATGTTTAGCTCCAGGATATGAGTCTGCTTGGTGTTTCAGGTATTGCATTGTTTGTTTGTACGCCACCTAGAGTCTGTGCTGAGCTTATAAATCTAAATAATAAACAAATAGATAACCCAACAGCTCCAGTCAGAGGCAAGGAATTTGGGGAATTGTCATCCAAAACATCCGGAAGACCCCCAGGTAGTTACTTCCAGATTAAAATATTTAGTAATAGGAAGGTACTGTTTAAAAATCCTCCTCCTTCAACGCCCATCAGCCCCCACTAATCATGCTGGCTAGGGATGGTAGAAGTTGTCATCCATGTGGAGGGTACCTGTCAGAGAGGAGAGGTAAAAGGCAAGGCATATAGAGAAAAACAAAAAGGCTTCAATCGACAGTACGATCAAAGCTCTGCCAATTTTTTATGTGCATCACAGATAAAAAGGAGGTGGGACTTTGATTGCACCCTCATGGCTGCCATCATGACTTCTTTGACCATCCCTGCAGACACCCATCTTCCAGAATGACCTCCACGTGCAAGGCAATGACTGAATAGCGTTCATGATAGATAAAGTGAAGCTATTCTTGTAGTTCCAAGAGAAGGTTCAGAAAATTAAGTGGCTAGGATCCGTGGTCAACATTCCCTTTTTTCCCAACAGCTTCACATGGACTGATGCTCGCTTGAACCGCCACCTGGTCACTCGCCTTACAGGAGAAGTGACTGAGGCATTTGACCAGGAATTCCGCACTTTGTACGCTGCTTCCTGCCCCCTGCCCACCTTGGAGATGCCCCCTCGCCCCCAGCTTGCTTCTATGGCACAGCTACCAAGTGCCAATGGGCCGGATGTGGCCCCGTACATCAGTGTCCTGGATGGGGTGCAGCTGTCCAATCGAATTGCGGAACGGCGTTCGGTGGCCCCTCAACCTGTGGCCAAGAGCCGAGCGGGCGAGTGGGAGCTGGTGTTAGCTTCGCCGGTCACTGCTGAAGATCCCAAGCCGCCTGCCTCCCCACCCAAAGTCTCTCTCCGAAACCGACTCGCAGCATGGCGGGGCGTGGACCATGCTGGAGGGGGCCAACAGGGATTCCCCGACGGGCCCAGTGCTCTCAGTGATATCTTCAGGAACGTCCAACGAAGCCGACTCTCCGTTGCCAAGACGACCGGGGCCCGCCCTAGTAAGTCATTATGGGACCTCAGCTGTTTGAGCCAGCTGTCCGGGTCCAGTGCAACTGGCTGGGGACGAAATGGGATAGACTCTGCTGAGGAAGCTAAAGTAAGTATTGCTGATTTTTTTTCCAAGCCTACGAATATGTCCTCTGAATCCTCTAGGCTGCAAAGAAGGCAACTGCATTCAATCTAGCATGCTCTCTGAACCAAGCCTGTAGTTAGTTTAAGCCAGTGTTTCTCAAATGTGGTCACTTTAAGACATGTGGACTTCAACTCCCAGAATTCCCCAGCCAGCATGCTGGCTGGGGAATTCTGGGAGTTG